GAAGTCAAGAATAATATCGTATGCCGTCTCGAAATCTGTCCACGAATTCTCCATTGACGCTGGGCGCTGTCGTGCAAAAGCGAAGAACGCGTCCGCGACCCTCCGGCTCTTCGGCTAACTAACTAATTAATTAAGAGAACTTGGTGCAACGTGTGAAAACAATGTCTCGCGAACCTTTGGTGCGCGCGCTCTGCAGCTGTAACGGGATTTACAATCATGTCGTGACTTAAACGAGAAAGTGCGCGTAGCGACGACAAAGCAAAGAGCGAGAAGAAAGAATAATGCAAATTATTTTGTAGGAGACCTTGTCACTAAATCCTACGTAGAAATTAATTTTATCATTAGCCTTCGTATGAAAAAAAAAAAAAACATTACGAAGAAATCGTTGCAGCGTTTTATTGTCAGTTCTTTTAATGGCCAACAATTAATAGAATGATCTGTGCAGCCAGAAATAGCTCATTTCACTAAAGATTTATACAGTTCGGTTTTCTATTTAGATTATAATTAGGATAATCATAAATATGTAAGAAGATACGAGATTCTTTCTTGTAAATCTCCTCACAACGCTTTTTATGATGTAGTACTAAATAAAAGCGGATCATATGCGTTAAGTCGGTACCTTGATACCATCTTATGCATCCATTAAAGTCGATCGTGCAATCGCGACGCGTAGATCGCGCAGCCACGTTCTCGAGAAGTGTGCGTTCGATATATATTACGTATATAATATAAACGGCCGTTGGTACAAAAGTGCGAATCTCTCTCCCACCTGAATCCGATCCCCATCGCGAGCGCCGATCCGTGATCGACGATCGATCGACCAAACTAAACGAGACGACGAATTAATTGTAGTGTTTTATGAGCCATTATAGCGCGGCGCCCCACGTCATTGGTACGCTTTAAATAACGGGGAAATATAAAAGTATTGTGTGAAACAAGCACACCACTCTATTACCGGTATATATTATATACATTGTAATCAATTGTTGTCTACGATATAATGTTATTTTTCTAATTCATATTCAATTGTTATTGTTGAGCGAGAGAAATAGAGAGAAAGAGAGAGAGAGAGAGAGAGAGAGAGAGAGAGAGAGAGAGAGAGAGAGAGAGAGAGAGTACGAGGATAAATGGGGATGAATGGCAGAGAGAAAAATGAGGGGTGAAACGAGATAGAACGAAAAGAAAGATGGAGAAAAACGAGGAATAAAAGAGAAAGAGAGAATGCGATATTGAAAGATTGTGGGAAGGGATGAGAGTGAAAAATGCGTACGAATGAAAGATGAAAAAAGCACATCGAATACTTAAGCGCGAATAATGTATTCGACCAGGATAGAATCTCCTGTACTTTCCATTTCCATTTGCTTCCCTTTCGGACACATTTACATACATCATCAACGTACAACGAGTTCTATGTCTTTCCCAAGTGTTTTGGCAGCTCGATTCTTATACGGATAAAATCGTATTGCGAGACACAGTTATAAATTAATATTCATTACAATCGATTGAAGCCGAAGAGTCTCAAATGTGCCAAAGAAAATATTTTTCGCAAAATTATGCGGTTGTATAGTTTTACATTGCGATGTAATAAGCGATTCGTTTATATTTATATCTTATATTGTTAGTAATTACATGTGAGACATGTTTAGAGTTAAGGCACGCCAAATCCACGATTTATCAAGTCCATTCTAATTACTGTCCGCCTTACTCAGCAAGTCTTCATTTTTCCAAAGGAGATCTTTTTTGGCTCTCTTTTGCTTTTCTCTGAAAGTGCAACCGTATAGCTATGGCTGTACCAACGAATCGACTAAAATCCCTCGACTTGGCACTTTGGAACTTTGCGACTTGAATTCTAGGCGGATAATATATAGCGGAGCGTTTTCGAGACCGCCGAATCGGACTTCCGCCGTCCCAGTTCCACGCTCGCTCTACACAATGTACGCAGTTTACCACGTACAGAGGGTGGGAATCGCAGCTGGACGGGTTGTAAGTAGTGACGGTGCGCGATTAGCGCGACGAAGCCGCGCCGGTCGCCTGTGATATACATACAAAGTCGCGAGCACATAAGTATTGTATTTTTTGTAAGGCTCATGTACGCCATGCAGATTGTGATAATCGAGTTCGCGGCGTCGTCTTGGGGGTGGACGACGGACCGGCGTGCCTGATATAATACCACCGCGCGAAACAGATGCACAATTTCGAGTACGATTCGGCGAGCCTACTTTTATTTCCCATCCGAAGCGAAATAAGTGCGAATGAGGCTTGTTAAGGCTTTAACTTGTGCGCGAGGAAAGATGCATTCTTTAGCTTTTTTAAAGTCCGATATGCCATTTGAGAGAACTTTCCATCCGCTTCTTGTCTCATGCCAAAATTATCGGATACAATAAGAATTTGATTAAGTATTTTAAGTAGCTCACGGGGACGCGTTGTGGATTTTTTTCCTTTTTAACAACAAGTATCGGAGATCATTTTTAATATGCTAAAAATTAGACTGATAGACTTGCACGAAGTGATACATTTTATACATGGGGAAGCACATAGAGTTATGAGACGATTTTTCATTTTGGCTTGGAAAAGATAATGATCGTACCATGTTAGGAAAAAGATGAACGCTGCCTTCTCATTTGTTTGTTAAAGCTGTCGAGAATCTTGTCAGCAGAATGTTGCTCGCACATTGTCTCGATTAATTATTGTTATTCAATCGATGTGAATCTTCGCCGAGTCTCGAACAGATATAGTAAGAAGCAGAAACGATATAAAAGAAACGGTAATTAATTTGAACAGATAAAATTAGAAACGTTTATCTATTTCTTTTTTTGACGACTTGATAGTTGCGGAAATATAAATTTTAAAAATTGTTACGGAAAATCACAAATATATATAAACATGTCGTATAAAGTCAATTCTTACAGAAATTAATACTGGAAAAAGTAATGATTCTCATTTTAAATATTAAAAACACTTCAAGCAAAGACAATATTAAAATGACGTTAAAATAAATGATTGAAAAATGATTTTTAATAGTCATTTGATGTCATTTTGACATCATCATGATTTGTATTTGTATTTTTTAAATAAGTCATTTTCGATATATTAAAATGATTTTCTAAAGGGAGTCGATTTATAGTAAATTTACGATAAATCACGAATATAAGTAATGAAAAAATTTCTAATTCTTTATATTATAAAATATTTTGCCAAAACGCTGTGCCGATTTGATGATTCTTGAAAAAAAAAACAAGACAGATAAAAATTACATTGGATCACAGAAGATATTTGACGATGAGGGTGATTTCTAAAGAAATCGTTACCGAGTGTGATTTCATGTTCGCCGATCGTTAATCATGCGATCTAACTATCACGACCTGCATCTGCATTGTGATCACCTGCATTGTATAAATTGCAAGTTTTATTCTAGCTATAAATGGGAATTTTCTACGATATCGAATGGACTATCACGCCGGATATTCCTAAAGAGGATGTTTAATAAATAACGCGCTCGAAACAGAATCGCGTCAGATTGACAGGCTCGTAGACGTTTTGAATTCGGTATAAAAATTTTACGAACTCGAAAAAAAAACTGAAACATTCGGTGGAAACCGGACGATCGCAATAACTATCATTGTTGGACGAGCTATCGTTACAAATTCGTAACTTCCGCCGGCTGCGTATATAAAAGCTCGAATTTACACTCAATATTCGTAAAAATAGAACGAAAATGTCTGCAGATATCTTGACTCGGCGAACGATTCGATCGCGGATCAATTAATTCTACGAATCTCATAACGGGACTACGTTATAGTTACGTAATTACGCGTCGCGTTTTTTGTGATATTTTTAATCTGCGGGTGCGAGCGTCTGCGTGTATGTAGTACGTTGTTGTTGAATCCGGTGTCCACCGCGAGATGCTAAAGAATTGTAAGTCATGTAATAAACCTGTGGCTGTAAGGTAACTATGATAACGTCAATGATAATGAAATGGTGAGATAATGAAATGATGACGACGATGATGATGATGATGATGATGATGATGATGATGATGATGATGATAATGGAACGTCTGGCGCGGTGATAATCGTTATTGCTATCTTGTAACGTTTAATGTATATCAGTGTCGTGCAAACAAAAAATAAGAAAAAAAATGAGCGGCTGAAGCTCCTCGGTGTTGTGGGTATGCATACTCGTTCCTAGCAACTCGTATGACAATTACTATTCGATACTACTCATAACGATTGCATTGATCTACTTTACTCTACGTACATTTTAAAGATAAATAAATACATTCTGTCCAATCTCACTCAGGCTTGTGTCGATGTCTATTCTTCCCTCGTCAATATATATCCCACTATTCCTAATTCTTTATTTGTCACATTACAAGAACGATACATTTGGGCATGGTATACCCAACCCAATTCGATTGCTTATAACTTTTATAAAAATAAATATATTAGGTGTAGTAAAAAGAAATCCATTATTTTTCCATTCAATTTCATGCAAAAATAATGGATTTCTTTTTATTACACCTAATAAAATCTTTGTGGAGTAAAATCTAACTCTAAAAAGAGTAAAATATTCTTAAAAATTGAAAATTGTGTCACTCTTTCTTTTTCAACACTGACTTAATTGTCATTCTTTGTCACTCTTTAGAATTAGATTCAACTCCAAAGATTTTAAAGTATGGTAAAGCATGTTTTTCAATCGAAACACCAGATATTAAAGAAAATAGTATTAAACAAATGTATGTATCTTTATTAACAACCAAGTTATAAGCAATGAAGAAAACATTGGAAGAAGAAAGCTGGATATGCCACACTTATGATGCTAGAATAGTATCAAATGCTTAATATAAAAAATTAATTTCGAAAAAGATGAAGGATAATTCTAGATGGGAATCACTCATGGATTATTAATCGATATATACTTCAAGAATTAGAAAAACTAAATCTCTGAGTCTCTTTAAAATAATTTCTTATTTTTCAAATCGAGGATACAGAACGAAGATATAAAAGAAGCAATCATATTACTTTATTCTGTCAACGACATTACATGTCAATCAAATTAGATTTTTTACAATATTTCGTGCTCAGATATTTACTTTCAGTTTTATACTTTGTTCCTTTTTAAGACAAAACACACTCAATATGTCATGGTTATTTTGGAGTATTTTTATCTGGCTAATCGGCATAATAGAAAAAATACATACTTATACCTATATACGTATTCGCTCATCTATCAGCAGTAGAAAACGATTAATTGGCGCAAAATGATAAACTTATTCTAACTCGTCACAATAATGCGATGTGTTCTGTTAATCAATATATGATTATAAGGATTATATTTTTTTTACTGCTAGTAAAAGCCACCTACAATCTAGGAGATTATTACAATCCTTTAATATATAATTCTGATAGGTATTCTAAATTATATATATATCTTCATGCGTGTCGCGGCGCATTCGTTCTTTAATATTCTAAACTGGCAGATCGAGAGCATGTAGAACGTATTTTGTAATGTACGTAAACGTGGCTCAGTATATGTTGCTTTTGGCCTTTAGATGAAAACGGGATGGATGCAATCGATATCAGTGACTAAGCGTGAAACATGACTAGCTTGAAACGGCGATTCCATAGATTCGCGGCGCGTTACAATATTTGACGATTAATTGTTGCGTGCAGCATTTGTTTTGCGCTCTGTAATTTATTTCGCTTAACAATAGTCTTGGATTGCTATATCAGAGTATATCTGACAGCAATTGTGTATGGCTGAATACATAATGCGTATAATATCCACTTATATCTGGGCCACGTTGACATGCAAAGGATAGAAGACTTTAAATTCTTAACAGTTATTATCGATATCTATTCGATAAATGATTTTTCGTTCATTAAACAGATCTCCTTTAAAAAGATAGAAAAATATGTTTTCATTATTTTTTTATCACTTCATCAAGATGTCGGAATGCTGAAAAATTGTGATAAAACACAATGTTCTATCCATCGTGACAGTAGTAGAATTTTATGTAATTATAAATAACATTTATGCAGAAAAATATCAAATATATCTTTTCTTGATTCTTCATTAATTTAACTAATTTTATTAAGCAATAATCATTGCAGCATTAGTAATTTATACTAGTATTGAATTCTTAATAAAATATTCTTAATAAAATATTGCAGGTATAATGTCTTGCC